CCGAAAGCCAACAAGCTTCGCCACGATCAAGACGTTACAGCAGCACGCGGGTAGGCACCCGCCAAGCCCGCGGGATGGATACCCTGAAAGCCAACAAGCTTCAGGTGAACAAGGTCGACAGCGAGTTCGCGACTAACGGCACTGTCGCACTAGTGCGCACTGGGGGCGGGGAGAGGGGTGCTCATTGAGCAGATGCTCTTAGTGCCGCCCCGGGGGTCCGCACTCTTCCCAGGCCATCCCTCAGCAACCACGCACACCAGTCCCCGGGGTGCAAACCGATGGAATAAATGCATGTCCTGTCGTGCACTGATACTCATCCGTTGGCAATCTGTGCAATCCACACAGACCCTGCAGGTCCACATACAATGTAGTCTCTCGCATCATCAGGCAAAAGCATTAACTGAAGCATCCTTACAGTTGCGCATGTCGTAAACGAAGTCCGAAAGTATTCACTCATGCAGCACAATGATGTCAACAAGCAACAACCTCAACATGCTCTTTGTGCTCGGGGTACATAAAGGTCTCTTGTGCTGGATTCCACTCTGCAGCTGAGTGATTTCCACGGGATTCGCACAGAATGGGCATTCCTATGCTGATGTTACTATAAACTGGCAAGCCTGTGCAAGAACCCACTCAGCAGCACGCGTTCTCAATTGTGAAGGCACCATGCCCGTATAGAATACACACCTTTCCTTCAGCTTCTCTGTAGTCAACCTGATTTGCAGGGGCAGCTCTTGATCATGGAGGATGGTGAAACGACTTGTAAAGATGCAACATTCTGATTGTTCACCATGATTCCATGGAGAACGAAGCGTAGGCGATATAGCCACCAAAGTCCTCCTCGCCAGGCCACTCCAGCCTCACGATACAAGACATATTGCCAAGTCAACCGACAATGATGGGGGACTCTCGAGCTTGCTGCTTCAGAAGCCAATCTCCGGACAGAAAGTCAACTGGATAAAGCAGATGAACACAGGCACAGTCCTTTAAATGTCATGCACATCCCGGAAAGACGCAGGCTTCTGTCTCGACAAGTTGCTCGCGGTATTTGCAAAGGTTTCCGGGCCAAGTGATAACTGCTGAAGCGACGATCAGCTCCTGAAGGCAGTGCCAAAGAAAGGATGTGAAGCAAACGCCATGACCGTCAGAATCGCATCTCACAAAAAAATGAGAAGCCAAGAGACTCCCTCGGCATCCTCGTTATTGGAAGGGAATGTGTGAACGGCATAGCCTTGGAATTGGTTTATCAACTTTGCTGCATCGCCCTCAAGCCGGTCACACACGATGATCCTGTTAAGCAGCCACTGCCATCCGGAAGAGGTCTGATCTTGTCGACGTGCGTGTGGAACCTGGTCAGCGGTCCTTAGAATTTCGTGCTCTGAAACCAACAAGCCAATGCGCCCGTGAACTACGTTGGTAATCTCAGCCAGTCGCCCAACTCGTGAATCCTGCAGAACAGACGAGACGCAGAGGGAACGGATGGCATCGCATGGCTTCTGAGCTGATCAGCAAAGCTTTCTCCTTGCAGCTTCTCTGAACATCTTCAGAAGTTGATCTCTTGTTGGCCAGGTCCTAGGCTGCTGCAGGCCGGCAGTTCAGCACTTACCTAGCTGCCTAGCTTTTGAGTCGAGCGTCTTGTATGCGTCGCCCTCAACTTCGGTAGTTGCAGGGGCGTCCGGCAAAAAGAAGTCAACGTGATAGTTGCCGCTTTCAGTTTGCAGCTTGGTGTACTTGTTGGAAACCACCTTGAACGGTAATTTTCCGTTGCAAAACCAGATCACAGGTTTGGGAAAACTGAGCGGCTGGCGATCCAAGAATGCCCGCCGAAAGCCCCTAGTCTTTCCAGGCATATTAGGTCCTCAGGGCAGGAGATGTAGGCAGCTTGGTTAAAGGCCTTGGGAAAACCGAGGAAGCCACTTTCCGACCGGCTTTCTTGAAGCTGATCATTGTTTGCATACCTCCCAGACCAGCCCCGATGACCTCGAGACGCTTATGGTGGCTGCCCTGAATGGCCCTGCGGCGACAAACACTCCCCGAGCGCGTGGCGACAATCGGATGTGGGTATTGCTGAACAGGTCTGTGAAAGCCTTGCGTTCTCTCCAGGCACTGCAAGCTCTCTAACATTCTTCAATCAAATGCTTCCCGGCAGCTTTTCACTCCAAGCGCAATGACCTTGCTCGCAACCTCGTCCGACAGCCTCTGCTTGATAGGAAATACTCCCACCTGGCAGAGTCACGTCCACGATAATATACAGTACCTTGTACCGAAGCCCCACATTGCAAAGTGCCTTCGAAACAAGCTGGATCTTGTCTGGCGGGATCTTCACGAAGCTACCTCAAAGGAATGACTGGCGGTCACTGCAGACATCACACTCTATGGATTCGTGTCAAGCCACTGATGATGTCGCAGACCTCCGGAGTGCGTGTGCTGCCTCGGTGTTACAGCTTGCTGGCTCAAGCACAGAACTAGGCTTTCGTGCTGCTTTTCAACAAGGTTCCGGAAGCACCGATCGTGATGCATTCCGTCTCGTCCTTGCCGCCAGCAGGTTGCTGCTAAATACTCGAAGGCGAAGCCTCACCGTCCTGATTGTAGATCTCCACAACCCTGGTCGCCTTCCCAGTTGTCACTACGCCTGTCTCAACCTCACGACAGTCCGAAATGATGAAGAGCCAACGCAGAAAAGCTCGGCCCAGCCTTCTCCACCTGTGGCTTTCCAACCGGCACCAATCTGTCCTCCATCTGCACCATTGAAGGGAAGCCGTATACGGACTACCTCAGGGATCGGCCGTATTACCAAACATGCTCTTCGAAGGCCGCTGCTGGGCGCAACCTGTCACGTCTGGCCCCGGGGCTCCAATTGAAGCTCTGACTGAGCTACATCTTGAGCCGAAAGGGTCTCTACACGAAGCGGAGACTGACAACGGCAACAACTCACCACTTCTGTGGAATTGTGAAGGCTTTAGTCTTCAGCCTCTGTGCAGCAACACAAGCAAAGAGCCTCTGGGCCACCGCGAACATGTTTTCGTTGTGGAGAGTTTGTACCTGAAGTCAAAGATGGCAAGCCTTAGCTGCAATGACGTTGCCACGCTGTTTGTAAACTCGGGGTCTTGCCGCCCGTATCGTCTCTTTGACATGCAGCTCCGTGAAAATGTTCATCGATTCCTTACTTGGCGAGCTGGATGCCCCAGAACATTCTGTTACATGCTCCAGAGATACTGCTTCGACTCAAACTGATTTTCCAGATCAAGCGCGCCCAGGATGAGACAAGAGCAAAGACAAAATCTCATGACTGCAGGTGATGAATGTCCTGCTCGCAGCCACACAACGTGCAGCTGCATGCTTGCCTTTCTACTATCCGGTGCTACAAATGTCCTGAAGCTGTGCTCTGACATGCTCAATGTACTGTACCGTGTTGCAGGTATCACGTATCACTGTGATGCCGAGTGCATGTGAAGCTCACGCCCGGAAGTGAATCAGGTGGAGCCCCACCTCTTACGCGTGATTCGCGCACTGTACAGGTGATGCGTTTGAAATCACTCTGAACCGGCAGCTGTCGCGGCCATGCCAGTATTGCGTTACTCGCTTTCTCCTTAGATGTGGCAGAATTCAACCCTAAATGTGCCGAAGGGTAGCCCTTCGCTTCACGTCAGAAGTCGGGTTGGTTGAGATTCTTAGATAGGGTTCCGAGGGTACCACAGGGTCTTCATCTTTCCATTTGTTTTATGATCTGGAATCTTTCCTTTCCAGGCTTGTGCTCATCTGCGATGAAGAGTCATTCCGATGCACGCCGTCGCTTGCTTCGAGGTTCACCCTTCCGCTTCTCTGCGGTCTCCTCATCTCGTACCAAAAGCAGCATCCCATACTTGCCATACATCTCTCTGAAACCTACCCGTGCAGCGGCTCTTGGGCGCCTCTTCCTCGTCTGGCGCATGCGGGCACTTGGCCATGAAGTCCGTCAAACGGCAGCACGCGAAGCCCCAACCTCAATCGCCAAGAATTCCTTTGCCAGTTCCAACTCGAAAACTGTGAACGAGCCCAGTGGCGCTTTTCCTCCAGTGTGTACCAGGATCCCCAGATCTGCTCGTGCCCGCGCACTGTTACGTCCTGTGTGTCCCGGATCCAAGCGAGAAGGGGTATGGAACAGCAATCATTCTCGCCAAGTCTTACCGACTTCAAGACCAAAGCCGAAACATTCCATCCTCGGGGTACCTCAGGCTTTGCAACATGTCAAAACAGCTGAGACACACATCCACCAAAAGAAGCCAGTGTAGGACAAGTTGCTTTGAAGTGGCCAAGAGCTTCGGTCTGCTGCTGCTGCTGCTCGCTGCTTCGCTTTGGAGATCCGAGGACTCGAGCTTGACTTTGGGATCACCGCTTGTGGACAAGATCTCGACCTCACAAGGGGGCACCCTGTTGTGTTTTACAAGGACTGTGGGAGTGGCTCCCGACCAAAGTTGAACAGATTACCGTGAAACACAGTCTCCTGACCAGCTGCAATTGTATGCCGTCTCGTGCATCGTCCACCACAGCTGAAGGTGCGCATGGGTACTTGCCACTAAACCACGAGTGTCCCTGACCACCGCAATTGTGCTGGATTCTCTGCTTACATCCAACTTCGTGGTGCTGCACAAGCATACGAATGCACTGCAGGTTTTGCTGTACAAAATACTATTTGAGGCTTTTGCACTGCCCCGACACTACCATTTCTATGTCCGTGTGAGTTTAAACTCAGCCTGCTTACTTGTTGGTCGTTTGTGGGAAGAGAGAGAGAGAGAGAGAGTCTAATTAATTCAGAAGAGCTGCCTCAAAGAGCTCACGGTGTTCCTTCCTCCAAGAGGTCCTCTCCTTCGTCAGAGCTTCTCGGAAGAGCGCTTTGAAAGAGCGAGCGAAGTCGGTGTCAGAGACCTGGAGGTAGTGAGTGAGCTTTCCGAGAATCTCAACAGAGGCCTGGTTCAGAGCCTGCTGAGTCTGCTGCACTTCAGAGGTGAAGACTGCAGCGAAAGAGTCTCGGATGTAGAGCGAGCAGGGCTCTTCAGAGCCCTGGGCCTGCACCACCCAGGACAAGAGCACACCGTCCATGTTAGAGG